CGAATTCAAACACGAAGACGCTTTAACATCTTTAAAACACATAACAGCAAAGTGTGCAGTGGAGTTAAGAGAAACAGGAAGCTGCACTTTCACTGAACTGTTAGCATGTTAGCGAAATTAGCAGGTTTATATTACAGCTTATGTGTAATGTTGCTGACTTTAATGAACACTTTCTAAACTGATGGATTATATACTTTTTTTTATTCAAGCGCTGACTTTTGGGCCTCTGAACGTCTAATTTAAATAAACCCTTTGAGTTAAAGCTGAAAGTCTGCACTATGTCTTATCCTGAAGAGGAAACAACATGAAAAACGTCTGTCCAGATATTTATGGACCTAACTGCATGAATGTAAATGTTTGATGTCATTTACAAACGATAAGGAGCATTTAGAGTCTAAAATGTCCAGATTTTCCAGTAAATTATTAATTTTAGGGATTCATATATTCTGTATGTAAAGCATAGACTGTGTGTTTACACTGTATACTCGGTCTGTGAAGGTCAAACTGCCCAGCTGCCACACACTCTGCAGACTAATGACTCACACTAAAGACATAACTGGGGCATTTTGAGGGGTTTCAGGGCAGATTTGTTGCTGACGTGTTCGCGGTTTTGATGTTGTGGATGTTGTTGATGTCAGACGGCTGTAGAGCGCGAGCCGGTGGTTCGTCACATCAGTCGTGTGGGTGAAATGACGGCGGTTTGAGTGCGTCGGTTTCAGAGCTGACAGCACAGAAAAATTAACTGTGTGAATACTGAGCTTCTGCTTTAAATTCCTGTTTATAGATTTTATTCTTTATATGATATAATATATATATTTATATATGTGTGAACATGGACCAGAGCTACGGTGGCCCCGAGAGGTCAAATGTACTGGAACTTAAGAAAACACCAGCAAACAGAAAAATACGTCAAAAGCAGACAAAACACAAACGAAATAGAAAAAAACAACAAAGTGACGATGAAAAACATGAAGGATGGAGACACTGACGATTCATCAGTGTAAAGTAAGAAGAAGCTGCAAGGTTGTGTTTGTTTTAATCACATGAGTCATATAATACTGTGTTTACTATTAGCTGTTTACTGTTAGCCTGTCGCTCACGGAGCCGGTCCGACACGTTTTTGTCTCCCAAAAACACTTCTGCTGTGTTTTGTGTGATTTTGCAGCATTTTAGTTTTTGCTGGTGTTTTTTTAAGTTGCAGTGGATTTGACCTCTCAGGGCCACTGTACAGAAGCCACACTTTTTAAACACACTGCGGACAAATGAAAGTTGCAGCTCTCTCTGTTTGCTGTTAGCTGAAGGCTTCAGACTAACTGCTGATAAAATGGCAGAGGCGTGCTTGTAAAAGGACTTTGATTTCAGGCTCCTGAGTTAATCTGATGAGCTGTGATTAGCTGATTGTACTCGAACTCTCTTTAAAATATAGCTGCTGACTGTTTCCTTTGCAGTGGCCCGACTCGTCTTCTGCTTGTACACCAATCAGATTACAGCGCTGGTCTGTCATGAGTCTAATTATTTTGCTGTAATTAGTGCTCACCTGTAAGGTGACCCTCTTACCAGGGTGTTAATTGAGTATGTGTAGTGTGTTAAACATCTGCTTCTCAAAGTGTTTCTGTCTTAAACACACACACACACACACACACAGAGTTTCCCTGTCAGTATGCTGATATCAGCCTGCAGCTGTGAGGTTTGCCTCACTGAGAGCAGCCCGGTCCGAGGCCCAGAAATGCTGATTATTTCAGTTTACAGTGAACGCTCCTCTGTGGGAGAAAAATGGTGCAGATTAGCTGGAAAATCACAGATTTTTCTAACCGTGTGTGGTTTGTGTTGCACTTTTTACGACTTCATTACAGCTTTGTGAGTTTTTTGCAGCCAGGTTGATGTCTTCCATGTGAGAGAGCGGTGGCAGGGACAGTCTGCTAGCACCAAAGCAGTAGGACGGAGGTTTTCAGTGTAGCATCGCGTTCCCCTTGTGACTAATTTTACTCTCCGGACTGCCAGCAACCTTCAGCAACCACTCTCAGGTAGTCAGCAAATACACATCAGTTTGTAGACTGGAGGTTGCCAGCTGGTCTCCACGCCTGTCTCCCTGTGAAGACCCTGGACGGGGCTAATATGTGCTGGAGAGCTTGTGTCTCAGCTGGATTGGGAACGGGATATTTGTCATCCTGGAAGAATCAGAGGAGGTGGCTGAGGAGAGTAAAATCTGTCCATGTCTGAATAGAGATAAGCAGAATAAAATGGATGAATTGATGGTAATAAACACTTGGATCTGTGTGATGTCACTGAGAGCGGATATCCCTAATATGGTAATCTGAGGCATGCAGCTCCGCCTACTTTTAGTTTGTGTCTTCTTTTAAGGATATAGACACTTTAATGGTGTTTTCATTCAGTGCCTCTGTGTTTAAAAAGATTGTCCTGACGGTCTGTCCCCTGTGGAGCTTTTACCTTCCTCAGGTCCTTGCAGGGTCCTTGGGTGAAGGTTGAATTCCTCCCTTTTCCCTCCTGTTTGCAGTCATTTGAAGATCCTCGTGGTTTGAGGAATAGCATTTTCATTCTCGCTCTTCTTTGTTTCCATGATTCGGTCTTGTGGAGGCAGAACTGTAGCTGTGATTAGAGACCATCCAGATAAACTTGACATGTAACAGACGTGCAGAATAATAAACACACAAAGCCTGCTCCTCTGGGGTCGCTCCGAGCTTCCAGTTCACAGGGCGATGAACCCTGCTGCAG